TATGTGCATGTTAAATTCTTGCCCTATTAATTGGAAAGTTGTCTATTCTTATTTCTGTAAATAGAAATTTCCTGCCATTTTTTTCTGTCTTTTTCACTAATTCTAATTTAGTTTGGTGTTCTTTGTGTCATCTAGCAACTGTTGAATCTATTTTCCTTGTTCTCTTAATTTTTAAGAAGTCTTCTGATTCAGACACTCTATCCTCATATTGATCACTTCTGCTGCCTATACTTTCAGTGAAAAATTTTTTTCCCTTTATTTTGGTTTGGTACCTTTTTATAGGCTCTAATTCTTTGCTAAAATTGTCATTTATGTTTGTATCACTTTGTTGAGCTCTGCTAGCTTTTTATTATGTCCCCTGTCAGCTCACTGATCCTTTTGTTTTCTATGTTCATTATCTAGTTATATCATCTTTGGATTCACTGAGCACCTCATTGATTTTTATTTTTTTTTGGTCTCCTTTTTTGTCATTTCATATTAATTCAGATGTTTGGCTATGTATTTTCTCCCAGTTGATGCCCTATTGATCAGTTTTGGAGAAATTTGGAAATTTTTGGAAGCATTTTGTTGCCTTTTTTTCCTTATGTTTCGTGTGTGTGTGTGTGTGTGTGTGTGTGTGCGCGTGCATGCGCGCATGTGCAATGAAGATTGCAAGTCTGTTATACTGGAAAGATTTTATTGGTAGGATGGAGACCTCTTTCTTAATATTTCTTTCTAGTGATGCTCTTTGTCCTTGTCTAATTGTATAGGCCTTTGCTTCTGCTCCAAGATCTGACCTCCTCTGTTAATTTGGGGTGGAGAAGGTGCAGTATAATTGAGCCTGCACCTAGTTCTCTGGGAGTGAACCACAGTATTATTGATGATTCAAAGAGAAGCAGATACTGGCATAAAGTAAAAGCTAGTTAATAACAACAGCTTTGCCATCTTGGCAATAGCAACAAAATCAGCAACAGGATTGCGGTCAAAGACAAACTGAGTGTTGATATACCATAAGAACCAAGAAAAGCTACCCCATACTAGTCTTAACAATAGAAAAGAGATTTATAATTATAATATAGACACAAAGATAAACCAAATATTGACGTACAGTAAATATTTACTAAATACATCAACTATACCACTATTAACAGTAGACAAGAATTCAACAATAACACCATAGTGTCAATTAAGAATCTAAATATTTATAAAGCTTAATAGTAATACTAGTAAATATCGAGGGCAGAGGAAGGGGAAAAATGAAAAGTAAAATTTGAAAAATTTTTAAAAAGATAAAGAATTGAAAAAAAGCGAGATAAAGAATCCTATTAAGCAATAATAGAAAATGGGATTAAAGTAACAGAAAAGAACAAACAAGAAAAAAAAGATAAAATAGAGCAAAATAATTAAAAAGGAAAAGACTCTGAAAATTTAAAACAACAACATTAATAAAAAAAAAAGAAAGAAGTCCGAAATAATTCCTCTGTGCTTTGTGAATAAATGGTTTCTTTGTAGGGTCTGCAGTGTTCCAAACCACCAACTATGCATATTGAGTCACTAGTCAGACCTGTTTTGTCTCCACACTCGTATTTTTATGTATGGATGCCTAATATTACCCCACTTTACTGCTGGGTGTGGCCGATCAGTGGTATCTGCCATAGGGCTGTATTCACTCCAGTCTCTCCCATTTTTCTTGTCTTTCTGTGTATCCTAAATGGAAGCTTTCTCCATATAGATTTATGGCCTCTGAATTTGTTATATGTCCACCACTCTGCTCAAGAGGTCCCTGTGCCCATACACCGCAGGTTGTGGCAGCTGTCAAGCCAAGGTGTATCCCTGGTCACTTTGGCAGATAGGGAAAACTGACCACTGAGCTGTGTGTTGAATATAGGCAGCAGTATGGGGCAGGGTGTGCCAAGCAGTCTGCTGGATTTATTGCCAGCACTTTCAGATCCAGCCCCCTCTGAAATGTGCACATAAGAGGCCTGGTTTCTGAGCTTTAAAAGCAGTACTCCCATGTCCTTCCTGGCCTGAGTTTACATGTCTCAGGTGGTCTTTGTCCAGCTTGTCCCCTCTCTTCAGCTGTCTCTTCTAGCCCTGTCCCACCCAGTCATTTCCAGAGATCCAGAAGTATAGTTTACCTGTATTCATTTTTTAACAGTTGACCCTTTTCCAAAATAGCTCTTGATTAACACCTTTCTGCTGGCTTGAACTACCAGTGGCTCAGAGCTGCCCTGTAGGAAGACACGCAAATTATGGCCCCATCGTGAATATGTTAAAAATTCATATGTGATGGACACTGCACTGCATATCTTCTCTAACTCTAGCCTGCCGTGAAGGAGGGAGTCACTTTGGGAGTAAGACCCGATACTATCTTTTGCAATTTACCATAACCATGAGCTTGAGGGGGGGTGTCATTGTTGGCCTGGTCTGTTGTTTGTCCCTGGAACTGCTGATCTTCCCCAGAAATACCCTGTGTTAGTGAGGACAGTTCCACTCACTGGGAGGCAGTGCAAGTTTTCTGGAGTGCTTTGTTCTTTTCTCTGCCTTGTGCTCCTTTTCTCCAGCTTCTCTGTAGTTTCTAATTTTTTTTTTATCAGCTACCTCCAGATTCCTAGAAATCTACTCTTTTTCTTTACCAAGTTGTTCTCCCTGTGTCTTGATTCCATGTCCCAAAGAAATTATATTTTGTTGCCATTTAGTCTCTAGAATATTATTATTATTATTGTTATTGTTATTTGGCACCTAGGATCAAACTCAGGATCTTGCACTTGCAAAGTGGGCTAAATCCCTGGCCCTCTAAAATCTTATTTTAAAAAATAACATAAAAAGAAAAGAAAAAGTATTTTTCCTCTTTCCATGAAAGTATAAATGAAATATTCTCTGGAGACAATTATCAATGAAATGCATTATAGAGCACCTAACAGAAAAATTTTGGCTTTGAATAGAAAAAATTCTTTTAAAGTTTTGCTACTCTAATACCCTATGTTAGCTTCTAGTAAAACTCACAGTTTTTGGTAGGATTTAATGAGTGTGATCAAATTCAACTTGTAAAACTATTATCTTTGGAGAAGAATTTTTAATATCAATTTTGGGGCCAGATAGATATCTTTTACTGTAAGAAAGCAAGAAACTGCCATAATGTCAGCCTGTACAACTGAGTATAGCATACTGGCTTTCTGAGCTCCCATCCTCCAGGCCAGAGCAAATTGGTTTTTTTCCTGGTTTCTGTGTGTTATCTCTAATAGGAATGATCCCGTCCGGTCTGTGATGTACTGAAAAAATGATGTGATGTTTCTCAGAGTAACAGTCAGAGATGGCACTGCCAGATCAGAGCCCATATGTGCTTGTTTCCTCAGCAGAGACTTTAAGAGAAGGACTGAAAAAGTTTGTACAAATCCTCCAGCTAGCCTAGGGAAAAATGGGATAAATTTTTATACTATTGAAGGTTGACTCTGTGTGTGAAGGGATTCTTAGGAATTCTTCCTATGGGAAAGAGCCATGGGACATTTATGAAATTTTATGAATAATGAGGGATTGAGACTGGGTAGAAGAATGAGTCACAAAGAAAAACCCAAATATAAGTTGAGTAGTTGCTTTTGGCTTTTTCACCTTTTGTTAAAGGTGAGTAGGTATTTTTTACATTAAGATCTGGTTATACACACACATACATGCACATATACACATACAAAGATACAAATAAACCAAAAGTAGTAAAAGTTTCTTTAAAAAATCTACCTGATATTTGAGGCAGCCATATTTTCTATTCTATTTCTTTTTTTTTTAAATGCTAACTATAGATAATGGAATTTATTCCATGAATTGATTCCCACTGATGGTGTGTGACCTGTAGTTTGCAAAGCACTTACTGTCTATAAGCATAAGTTTTTGTATTGAAGTATCAGATTTAAATATCAGCCCTGTTGGTTACTACTAACTTGTCTATGGTACTCATTTTAAATGTGCTACTTGTGCCACTTTTCAGGAAATAATTATGCCAAGGGAAAATACTTACACTTATACTGATCAGTTAAAAGATTTATTTCATTCATGTGCTAATCCAACATCAGAAGGTCACTGGCCTTCTTCCCTTTAGCCCGTACTGTATTGTGCAGTTTCCTGTGGGGAGTAACCTCTGGAGTGTAGGACTTCTTTTTTTCTGCCCACCTCTTTATGACAGAGGATAAGATTGAGAGAAATTTATATGGCTTTAACAAAGGTATGACTGTGAATTTGAAAAAAAATATCATTCTTTGTTTAAGGATTAGGTGAATGCTAGCTGTTTTGTTTGTTTGTTTGTTTCTTTCTTTCTTTCTTTGGAACTGGAGATCAAACTTGGGACCTTGTACTTGCAAAACAGGCAGCGGCACCACCGAGCTAAATCCCCAGCCCAATACCAGCTGTTTTAATCCAAATTCTACATAATAAATTGGAATTTTTGAAGATTTGAAGTCTAATAATATTTCAGAAATTCGTCTCAGAACACTTTTAAGTTATAGTACATTCTTAAATATAAAAAAAATATGAATAAGTTAGATATCTTTAACTTCCGAATTATGGGTGGCTATGAGTTACAGGTTACTTTTACATAAATTGCACTGCACTAGGAATCAAAATAATACAATTTCAGATTCTGATATTTCTGTATTCTCCACGTGTGAGTTAGGCTAAGTCATTAAGCCTTCCCGTCCTTGTCACCTACTGTCTCCCTGTTCTAAATTATAGGAATATGTGGAAGCGCTTATTAGAAAAGTAAATTGCTTTTTGTTCAAATTGTTTGACAATATTTGGTTTATCAAGAAGTAGCTAGGTTTAGAAAAGTCAATCTGTACATTATTATGTCTTAAGACAAAGTGATCTCTAGGATGTGAATTATGCATACAAGCTAAATGTATTTTCAGTATTTAGTAGAGGGCAGAATAAAATGTAAAGTTCAATGTATACTCTGGGGACAATGTTAAAATTATATATTCCTTTTAAGAAAAGCTGAATGACATTTAAATGACATTTTTTCTGTTCTACAGGAACCAAAAGCAAATACCAAGGTAATTTGTAAGCGTTGCAAGGTAGTGTTGGGAGAGACTGTGTCATCAGGTGAGAATTTCATAACATAAACCTAAAATGATTATCTCCTTATCTAAAGACAAAAAGATTTTATAGTAAATATATAGAAAAGATTATTACTATTTTATAGAATTGATGCTTTTTTAAAACTAGAAACCAATTAATGTATCGTGTCAAAACATTTGTATATTTTGACCTTTTTAAGTGCACAGCCTTGATTTTAAAGCATTGAGGAATTGGGGTATTTTCAATATTTATGTGCTTTTTGTAGTAGAAAGCAAGAGTATAAAGTTTCTATTGTTTCTATCATGCTCAGAGATAAAGAAGTTGATTTGCTTGGCTGCCATTTGCTTCGGGGCTCTATTTTAGGACCAGAGGTTAGAAAGGACCTGTTAAAATAGGAAAAAATACATCCTAAGTTTTATACTTTGTTCCATATTCTTTTTCCCAGTGTGTTGATTACATTTTCTGTAATCTTTGTGTTATACTACTTTAAAATATAATATGGAAAATCCTAATAATTAAACTATTGTTTAAAGGTATAGTTTATAATGTCTATAAAGCTACCATGTGCTGTTAGCTTTGTGGGTGATGAATAATCATTTTTAATATAATTAATTAGAAAATATAATGTAAGTGAAGCTGTTGTACTTAAGAGAAGGCAGATGTTGATATTTTCTGTTTGTTTTATAAATCATCAAAATCTTACAAGTAGTTAGTTACTTGCTCAGAATGAGCAGAAAAGGAAGACTGAGTAGTTGTGGAAGATGCTATCCTCATTGCCATTTATAGAGAATGAAAGCAAACCCCTTGAGCAATACCATAGATATTTAAAGTTTCTAATTAAGTGAAGTGATTTTAAGATCTTTTTCTCTCCTCCCTGAAGCCCAGTTAAAATATTAGTTAAGGAATAAAAAGGTGTATATCCAAAAAGACAAATGAGGAAGAGATGACAGACAGTGATATAAATAGGAAATGTAAACCAGCTTCTTTGGAACACACTTGAGCATCTACATGAGATCGTCTGCATGTGGACTGAGCCAATATTCACTATAGAAATCTAGAATGGGCCAGACATTGAAGGCGGCAGGTAAGAAAGTCTAAGGCAACGAACTGCAAACAGGATCATTAATTCAAAGTCTATAAATGGAGGATTAGACTGAAGTTTTCTCTCTTTTTTCAATTTGCTTATACAATCCTCAACACAGAGGATTAGAGGGCCCTTTCTTAGAATAATGGAAGAATACAACAGGAAAAAGACAGGTTCTGATTCTTCGGGGTCATCAAGCAAAATGAGGGCCTATATTGTTCAAAGAGTTTATATTTAGTCATCCTGTAGCCAGTAAAGCATTTATTTACATCTAAGAGTGTCTTCTCAACATTTCATTGCCTTACACATAGATATCAATGATTGCTAAGAAACCAGATACAGTATTATTGGAAAGTCCCAATATAAAAAAAAAGACTGAGGCAAATAAATCATCCATCAAGAAAGGATAATAAAAGCACTGAGAAGAAACAAATTATGTGCAGAGCACAAGAAAACAAAAAAAGACCCTTGGAGACATGAAATAATCTTGCTTTTATAATTAAAAGAACATGGGATTAAAAATGTAATAACTTAAAAGATCAAAGTACTGTACTGGGAGATAAAATTAAGAAACTACTCCCAAATTATACCAAAAGGCAGAAATTAAAAATTAGAAAAGAAATATAAAAATATATCATCATTTAAGTTGGCTGATGATAGGAGCATTGTCCATTTTGCTTATTCCTGTAATTTCAACACTTAGATGAGTACTATCTGACACATAGTCAGTCCTCAGAAACTACTTGTTCAGAGTGGTAAATTGAGACTTCAGAACACCCAATATCTACTAAATGGAAATCCTAGAGAACAGAGACAGTGGGGTATCGGAAATTATTAAAGAAAAAAACTACCAAAAGCACTTCATGTGACTTTTTTTGAGAGCTAAGGCTTTAGTTTCTTGATGGAAAGGACTCACTAAGTACCCAGTGTAATTAATAAAGGGATGAAATGGAGCCAGAATCATTGAACAGTTTTGCAATCTCAGCAATAAATTTTCTAGATGGGGAAAAGCAGTTAGTGTACAACGGATTATGAATTGGTATAGCATTTATCTTTACGGAAGAACCAAAAGCTAGAAGATAGTGAAGTAATCCCTTCATAATTTGAGACAAAGTTACATCCTAGAGTTCTATGCAGTTAAATCATTAGTGAGATATGAAGTTAATAGGAGTACTTTTGTAAATAAAAATTTAGAAACATAGACCTCAAGAGCATATTTTCCTTAGGAACCCCATATATACTTATATACATATGTATATATGTATGTATATATGTAAAGCTAAAGCTAGGGATTTAACTTTGAGATGACGTGGGAAACAGGTTATCCAAAACAGGAAAACAAGGTGGGAAAGGCCAAGGGTGAGAGAAGTACAGATGATTTAGAGAAAAATAAGTTGGATTGAAGCAAGGAGAGAAAAGATTGAAGTAAAGACTTTTAATTATAAAATAGAATTGTTAAACTCTATCATGTCCACATGTAACAAAACACTCTTGAGATATTACATGGAAGAAATTAGCTAGAAGTTCTTCGAAAACTAAACAAATAAAAAAGAAAGCAGGTATTCGTTACAGGAACAAAAGGTTGAGGAAGAAAGGAAACATCTCCATGGTATCATTTTGGTCATAATAATATAAATGCTGGATAGTCATTTAACAAAAATTATGATGCTATATAAGGATATAAGGGTGGACTAAGAGCTATATGTACATCTATGCTAAAAGTAAATTGATAGGACTCTATTTCTTAAAATGATGACTTTAAAAAAAATGGACAATTCTATCCCAGAAAAAGCAAGTACAGAATTAGACAAGGTTAAAAAAAAAATTGTTTTACTACCATGAATGCCAAAAAATTTCAAAGTTTAAGGAGACCTCTGAATTTGCTTTGGTTTTGATTGCATTCCTCAGTCCACAAATAATTTGACTGCAAAAGGTACTTTTTCTAAGTCTTACTGACTGGTATTGGAGCAGAATCTCTCCCCAAATGATTTGCCAATAGCTAAGCCATGCAGTGGCTACTCTAGGGAGTCAGGGTGAACAGAATAAAACTGAATGAAGATATTAGTAGCTGCACACTATTAGGAAATATATTTCACAGTATAAGTCCAAACCATTTAGTTGTCTACTATACTCAACCAATAACCTTCATGAAATAGAGCAATCTGGAGTTGCTACAAAGTATTATGTATAGTGTCCTACTTTATCACACATGCAAAGAAATGAGTGTTTCCTACTTAAGAAATAAAAAGTACTCAATAAACAGGTGCTAAGTACAAATGTTGGATTTAGACAAAATGGATTTAGAGAAATATGTTGAAGTAGCTACTGTAAGTATGGCAAAGAACTAAGAGGAAAAAAATCTTTGACACTCTAGGGTATGGAATTGCTGAGCCAATTTAGCTGAGTTTCTCTTACTGAGGTTGACACAGTCAATCAAGCATCTCATGTTATAATTGAAATTAAAAATTCAGAGGGTAGTTTAATAGCATATTAGTTACTACTTGAAGAAAAAAATGAACAGAAGATGAGAGAAAAGTCTATAAGCTGGTGAAGAGATAAAAAGTAAAAAAATATAGAATGATACAGCTGGAATGCAGAATGAGAAGATCTGACATGTGTTTAACCAGACTTTCTCAAAGAAAAGAGGAAAAGAGTAGGGCATGGGCAATATTTGAGCTGGTAGTTGTTGAAAATTTTACAAATGTCTGGAAGAATAACAATCTACAGATTCAAGAGGTACAGTGAATTCCAATTCAGTGAGGTCCAAGTAAGGTAAATAAAAAGAAATCTGTACCTAGATACATCAGAGTAATACTGTAGAAAGAACAGCAAAGAGAAAAAGCAAAGAAAAATGACATGTATTCAAAGGAGCAGAAGTAATGAAAATTTGAAGATAGTGGAATGATATTGTCAAGGTGTGCAAAGAAATAACTGTTAACCCTAGGATTTTATGTCAAATGAAAATATCCTTCAACAAACAAGATAAAGATAAATACCTTTTCTTACAAACAAAAGCTGGGATAATTCACCACTGATGGTTCTTTAGAAAGGGAATATCCATTTTTATAAGCATATCCATTTCTGTACCTTATTACTTAAAAATATTTCATCTGACGCTAAAAATTATTTTAGTAGTAATGAGAATATTTTCAGTTTAAAAAAAAACCCCAAGATAGTTATGTTTATATTAATGTCTTTTAAATATATACTCTATTGTTTAAACTTTTATGTAAACTAATCTAATAACCAGATTTGGTGAGAATTATACATTAATACAGTTAGTTGTAACTAAAAGGCCTTGTTCAGTGACTCCTAGGAAATCCAGTGTTATTCTGTAGAAATGAGGAAATATAGTCCCTAGTACACAAATGGGCTAAGGCTATGATGTGGCTAATTTTTATAACCCTGCATGTGTGTAAAGATACTCTTGCTGCTACAGATTCACTTTGAGCAATAATTTTCCAACAGTCATTGTGCTATCTGACACCATGGTACTATGCCCTTGTAATCATCGGTGCTCTGTTCTCTCTTTGAAACAGAGGTTTTGGAAAATGTTTACTGAATGTTAATTTCCCCAATATATTGAGTATTTGATTTGGGATTCATAATATGGGACCAACAAACAATAAAAATATTATTGTACTGAATCAAAAGATGTGGAGGGCAGGAGAGAGGGGAGGGAAAGGGTGTGAAAAGGAATTAAGATTCATTTTGTACATGTACATGTACTCCACACAAGGAGTGCAAACGTACTGCAAATGTACTGTGCTAATAATTTTTTTAAAAAAATTAGTGTAAAAAATTAGTGTAATGGGAAGGAGATTCTTAATTGTGTTCCTTTTTGTTTCCAGAAACCACTAAATTTTACATGACAGAGGTAATTATTCAGCCATCTGAGAGAAGTTTTTCCATCATACCAAGGTACAAATAACAAATTAAGGTTATTTTACAACTTAAAATGTAGAAAAGTAGGCATGATTTATTGGGGTTTCATTTATATATATATATAAAACTGTCTTTATTTGGAAAGGGGGAAAAAACTTTTGAAAGGCTTTCAGGTGGTTAAAACAAACTACACATATGAACAGCCTCTAAGGAGTTATTTATGTTTTGCTTATGTAATGACCAGTAATGGCAAACCTTTTAGAGCTTTCAGTCGTACAAAGAGCCCACTGTGGTATGTGTGTCATAGACTTGACACCACCATTAGACACATGTGTCTGTATAACTCTTCTAATTCTGGAAGTTGTATGTGTGTGTGTCTGTGAGCACGCAGACATGCTTCTGTGTGCCCCATATCCAGAACAGCTTAGTGAGACACTGTCTCAAGATTTAAAATAAGCGGGAGAGGAGATAAGAATGTGGTAGAGCACTTGCCCAGTGTGTAGGAAAAAAATTTAAAAGGTACTTACCCCCTTAATCTATTAATGTTTATTTTCTTTTAATCTTTTTACTTTAAAAACAAACGTTAACCAATGTCCTTAATTTGTTTATAGATATTAAAAAATTATGGCAGCCTAATTATAAGCTTGACTTTTATCCTACTGCAAATTCTTTTTTTACTTTAGAGCAGTCTCTTTAAGGAGTTCTAGATGGGAAAAATATAGATAAAGCTGTCTGTGTTTGGGAAGAAATTTCTTTCTTTTGTAACTTCGTTATCTGCTGTTTAGTGTGTTACAACACAAATGGGATATTGACTTGTTCTAATGTGGTATTTCTCGTCAGTGGGGGAATAAGTTTGGGATGAAAATGTATTAACAGAGAATATGTTTTAAAAAGAATGGAGCAAACAGAAATACATTAAAATATACTAAATTCACAGTAGCTCAGATTGTGAGGGAAGGGTCAATGGGTACGAAAGTTTGACGTGCTGATGTCACTGCCTTTTGGGTGTCCTCTGGGTATTTTTGGCTGGCCTTGCTAGTTACTAGGAGAGGCATAGTGTGAAAATTGGTTTCTGTTTAAACAGGTCGCAGTTTGTCCAGAGTGTTGTTGCACAGTGTCTGGTGGAACTCTCCTCTGCTAAAAGCACTTTTAGATATACTATTCAAGATCAGAATGGCAAAGTATATATCTTGGTAAGAAATGAGCTCATCCTAGTAATCTACAATCTCAGAAATACTGTATTTTTTCTCATTCTTTTAATTTTCAGGTCTAGAAGGTAAATGATAAAAAATTTTCACTGTTTAATTTCTAACTTTCACTTTTTAAATGTAATAACAAATAATCGAGCACCTTTGTGTACTAGGTTGTAAGGATACAGAGAGAAAGAGACTCTGATTCCTGCCCCTTTAGAAGCTCAAACAACAAAGTACGGTTTTTTTCTCTCTCAGTTTATAATGGCTTCTTTTGGTCAATATTACGTCATTCTGTTTCATGTTTTTCTTCCTATTTGATACTCTTAACTTTAAAATATATATTATTACTTTTGTTGTTTGTAATTGCTTCTGACACCTTGAATTTTGAGAAATAGTGCCAAGTTTTGGGGAAGAGGCCCTGTGTCTAGCAGGATCATTCCTTATATCACTTCTATTTGTAATAATGCTTTGCTGAAATGAATCTGGGCATTTATCTGGAAACCCATGCATCATGGCCCAACTGTTTTATTCACACAGCTAACGTGTATTGAGCACTTCTTATTCGAAAGGCCTTGTTCTAGGTGTTCAAGTTAAAACAAAGAACTCACAAGGTAATAAGGAAATAGGGTAGGAAAAAGAGGGAAGGACCTGGGTTATAGTTAGAAATGACTTCATAGCTAGTTATCTGGTATGGATGCCCCATGTTTTTCTAATTCCTGAGGATTTCTTTAGAAAGTTAAAATATTTTCTGACTAAAGTTGATACTAAATCCACTTCATGGTTAGTATCTTCAATAAGTTTTAGGTTTCCCTTTCAGCCAAGATTTTCAGGTTGAAAATAAAGTGTAGGAAGCTTTAAAATATTCTCATATATATATTTTTTAAATTTTAATTTAATTTAATTTAATTTAAGGTTTTTTTTTTTTTTTTTTTTTTTTTT